GCTGCTACGGCTTTGCTCCCGGTGTCTCTGGTCTGCTGGGGACGGTCTCCAGCAGACCAGGGACACCAGGAGCAGCTTTTCTCTCCCTGGAGGTCGAGGTGGCGGATCGCTGCCTGCGAGCTCCGGGGCGAGAAAGCCCCGTTCGTAAGTGCGGATCCGACGTAAGTCGGGGACTGCCTGTAGTTCAAAATGTTTCTGTACTGCAACAAAAAAGATCCCAACCAAGGCAAATACAACTCAGCTTGGTTTGGCTTTGTAAACCAATTCCATGGCCACTTATACAGACTCTGCTAACCTGTTATCGATGCGACAAATCTACTACTCTGAGCTGGGGACCAGAACAAAACAAAAATAGACTTTGGCTATGTCTACACTTAAACCATTCCAGCAGCACAGCTGCAACTGCATTACCATTGTGCTTCAGTCTAGACACTCACTATAGCAGCAGGAGGGGTTCTCCTGTCACCGAAGGCAACAGCTAGGTTGACAGAAGAATTCTTCCATTGTTCTAGCACTGTCTAGGGGGGGTTAAATTAGCTTAACTATTGGCTTTTCATGCCCCAACATAGCAAAAGGAGGCACTAGCATGGCTGTCAGAAGTTCTAGATTTGTGGGACTCCTGTAGAATAAATATACAGGGCCTCCACCAACACCACACCTCTAGGCCATGGAAGAAGGTAGTGTCTTTGCTAGGTGCTATTACTCTTCTCTTCTAAGAGCTGAAATGCCATTGATTTCACTAGCCACTGAGGCCTCTGAGCTCACAGGCACAATGTGAGGAATGATACTTGCAGCCTTTGTTCTGAAGCCACAGATGAAATATACAAACCGGATTATTTCCGAGTAGGTGGCCTCTTTTTTTGCCCACCTGTTATCCATTTCTGTGGAAACAGGAGTGGAAGTAGCAGCTGACAGCCAATGTCACCTAATTATTCAAGTTTACAGATGGAGCTGCTTACCAAATAGCACCGACAGAACTAGGGACTCATCCTGCCAGGTGCTGAAATCTCTCAGTATTGCTGGGAACTGAAGGCACGAACCACCCACTAGTCTGGGCCCTCAGGCATTTCAGGGCCAAATTCTCTACTGGTGGAATTCTATTAAAGTTTATCAGCTGAGAAAAATATCAAGCCAGAATGGTGTATTTCACACCCTTTGCAATAGAGTCATTCAGTAAACAAGGAGCAGAACAATGGAGAATTTAAGCCTCTTCCATCCAGAGTGGGGCTCAAAATGTCAATAGAACAGGTTGAACAGTACTTCCTGATTCTGGCTGGGTCAGAAATGGCACAGGAGTACTTTCTTGTATTGCTTTTTGGTCCTTCCACCTCAGGCCCAAAAGCAGAGGGGCCTGACCTGAAACATCAGGGAAAAGGAGCAAACCCATCAGTAATCTTCAAAATCGGTTTGGTTCAGGTTTTGAGCAATGGTTATGATCAGTTCTTATTTGTGCAACACAGTTCATCCATCCTTATTCACTGAGGCCACAGTTTGGGAAAGCGTGTCTTGACATGACAGCACTTAATACAGGCCTAGACAGAAGGAACCATATTAAGCAGTGGGGTCTGCAGTTTTATCACACATCTTGTCTTGCATTATGCTTCCATATATACCAACAGGTAAGTCTTACCTCCCTGTCTTGCATTATGTATTTACATTGACTTGTTCTTTGTTAAGATGATAACCCTTTACCTGGCATTTCCAAGTACCATACCTTTAGTATCATGTCTCCTGGCAGTAATCTTCCATCTCTGGCAATCACTCCATCTCGATAGATATGTTGTATAATGATGTGACCCAAAGGCGTCTCGCTACCTCCCACAACTCTAATGGCAAGACTTTCTTTGGGATTAGTACGATGGATCTTAATACTCGTAATTTCTCCATCTGGAATCAGGTGATATAATCTGGGGAGGACTGAAATGCACATAAAAAAACATCTGATATGATGGTTTTCTTAATAAAAGCAAAATTAACATAACTTCAGATCTCTGCAGCAGACTCAACCAGGTTTTAGCAGCTGATATGAGGAGAGGACGATCTGTATTCTTTACCTCCTCCACCCCCCGCCCGAGATTGTTTTTAATTAGTCAATTCAAGGTTTAATGTTTTCTGAAATCAGTTCTTCTCTGAAAGCCAATACCTAGATGGACTGTGACTTCCCTGCTCATAAGTACAATTCTATAGAACACAGCTGGGACTTCAGAGTGATCCAGGGAGGTGAAACACATTTAAAGGAAATCTGCAGTGTTTGTTCTAGTATCTTAGAAGAGCTAAATAAACACTTTTCTTTTCAAATACGCTCCCTACTAAGGCAGCTCTTTACTGGCCCAAGGATTATATCAAAGGGACGTGTGTAACTACCAGATAAGCCAACAGCCTGCAGAGCAGCAGCAAGAACTCAGATATGAGATGTCATCGACATTTTTAACTGGTTGGTTGGTTGGTTGTGGATGCCTCTGTCTTCCCCCTCCCCACACATGGCCAAGTATAAATTTAGTAGCCCAGGATCAGCACCAGACCAGAAAATTCCAAGGGATGCTTGGCTTACAAAACCTGAAAAAGTATTTCCTCAAATGCTCATGTCCAGAAAATTTCCTAAAATCCAAATTCAGGGGAAAAGACCCCCATTCAGCCAGGAACTTAAGAACATGCTGAACTTTAAGCACATAGTAGGGCCACTGAAACCAGGGGATTGCTCATGTTCTTAAAGTGTGGCATATACTAGTACCTTGCTGTGGCAGCGCTATTCTATACAGAGACTAAGTAGGTTTGGATTTTAATAACAGGAAATGTACTTGATGGGAACAATTACCTTATTTCCCCTCAATGCTGGAATATTTTTCATCTCACTAAAGAACCTCCTACCTCTCCCTTGGTGGCACAGAACTATGGTGTCCTCCCAGCTGCATTGTGTGGAGCTCTGCTGTACCAGAAGATCTGAGAGTAGGTGTATTATCTTTTTAAACTATAATTTACTATAGAAGGCACAGTAATTCTCTATACAGCATGTTACTGTAATTTTATTCTCTTTCAGGAGTATTAAAACTTTTGGTCCAGATTAATCCCTGGTCTAAATCCAAATAAAAATCAATTGATTTACACTAAGGAGGTATGTGGTTTAATATTATTTTACACATGCCTTAGTATTTTTCAATGTATTCCTCTGCCCCAAACCATCTATTACAGAGGTAAAGCCTTCACACATGACAGAAGGCTTTACCCTTGTACCAAAATTTTGAATTTTTTGGTACAAGGGATCTTTTGATTGTAACAGCAAGTTCCCATGAATAAGCCACAGGTAGAAAAATAATGTGTCATCATTCTTCTCAAAGACCTGTAATTAGCTATTTTTACATCAAAGAGCAGAAGTTTCCATTAAAAAAAAGCCAACACTTAACTAGGGTTACCGCAGAACATTTTCAGAGAGCACAGTATTTCCTAAGCGTAAGTTTGTCAAACAGCAGAGACAGAGAAAGAGTGGGAGAGAAGCTGAAAAGAAAAGTAGCATGGTGTTGCATCCCTTATCATTCCTTTGACAGTAAACTCTTCAGAACAGGAAACTCTCCTTCACATCAGTAAAAAGGACCTACCAGCGGCATGGACTTGGTCTTTGTTTTTTACATATAGTAGATAGTTTATTACTGATCTAGGTAATTATACAGCCTCATCACTGCAGCATCTGAGTGCCATTTATCCTACACCCTCCTTTTAGTTGTTTCTGCTACAATATCAACTCCTGTTTGTTCTGCACACTCACTAAATGCCAAATAGATAGAAGTCATGTTACTTTGCCATGTACATCCAATTTTTCTGGAACCAGATTTTGCCCAGTTTCTAAGATACTCAACAACTTTAAGTCATCACTGAATTTGGCCCTAAATATTTTTTATAAAGGACCCACACTTTTAGGGCCTATTCTCATTTTGCATAAGTGGATGTACAACTGACAGAAAATATAAGGGAGATTGTAAGGGGGATATTGTGTAAATGAGAATCAGAATCCCAGTATTATTTATTATACCTAAACACCACAGTAAATCATCTTGTCTGTCTGTCCTAGGCATTTTTCAAGCCCTCATTACTGTATTATCTAGGTGCAAATGGAATCTTTGTAGTCTTACCAATGTAACCAATCAAAAAACTGATTGAATTTCACATTCCATGGTGACTATTTATGGCTTCTACAAAATGTACCATTTGATTTGATCAGTTTCAGTCTCTACATCTTATTCTCAGAACCTTTTCTAATGAATTGTACTGATAGTCTCTTGATTGTGGGCATGATACACTACTGTGTTATCCCAGTTTTATTCCAGTCAGCACAAAAGTGGAGTAACAGTCAATATGGTGAATCAGGAACAATTGTTTTAGCTTTGGTTCCTTGATTCATGTATAGATGATGCTTTTAACTAGGTTGTAACCTATTAAGTCTTGTAATGGCATGCTCCTGTCCACTACAAACTTTTAGAGAGTCTTAGTTGTAGATATACCAAGAAGAATTTTAATATCTAATTTGCTTTTAACTCTAAACAAACATGTAATCTACAAAGAAATCTCCACAAGAATTTTGTCTTGCCAGTCAATGATTACAAAGGTTTTCCTCTTACATACAACTGTGAGCATTTGATGCCTGTAAAGAACATCCTATACAATATAGTATGTTCTATATAAAAAGTATACATTTCTGCCCATAAAGGTCAAGCAGGTGAAATAATTGGATTAATTTTATTTTTGCTGGTTTCTTTGATGTTCTTCTGTATGGTTTATCGATTTCTACTTTGAGCCAGGGTTTTCAGGTATACGTTTGTCTAAATTGTACCAGATTAAAAACTGGTTGCTATTTTGATAAAGTAGGTACTTTTAGGTCATTGATCTCAATAAAGCTCTGCACGGTGCGAGTCGCACACCACCCAATACACTAGTGTAGGGTCTGAGCCTTAATCGGAGTGCCCCCCATTGAGTCCAATTATTCTTAGTTACCCCCCGCCATCTTCTTTTAGCAGGTTTTCTAGAGTAGCAAAGCCATTAAGTATTTCATACTTTTCTTTTCCCCATTTACAGTTCCAGTCTTTACATATCATTGAATGGCAGAATCTAGAAGCAGTAAACTTTCTGTATAACAGTATAGTTTTAAATAACCCAGGAGAGAATGGCCATTCTTGTTTAAGATGGTAATGTTTGCTTGAAAAGATCTCAGATACATTAACACTTTAGCTACAGGATTTTTATATGAGACTTTATGTCCCTCAAATATATGTTACTTAATGTAAGCATAAGTTCAATACTCAAGTTTAACAAACTCATATGCTTATTATTCACCTACTGATAATGCTGCTAGTGAAATATCCTGTTACTTAACTTCTGACATCAGACGCGAGGAGTACTGATAATGGTCTGCTATTAGGTTTTAGTCCATCTTGATTAGACTCAGTAATTAATGCAATTTGCACTCCGTGCTGCAAATCTATATTCATGCTAGTTGGCCTGATTCACATGAGTATCTCACTGAAGTTAATGGGTTTATTTGCATGACTAAGGACTACTCCCCTAAGTAAGGCTATGCAGGATACGAGAGCCTTGCATATTGTCCTTTGCAACCTGATTTAATACTTGACTTTCATAATGATTTTCAGTCACTTTGGAGACATGATCTACCTACCTACATTTTCCAGTGAAGTAATCTATACTTTGGGGATTTCATCTTTTTAACATCTTATTGCTTCTGTATTTTCCTCCAGTGGTATACCAATCTTCTCAAAGAGGGTTGGTAGGACTGATGATGTGATGGTTTAAAATCCTATAGTATCACACTAAAATTGCATTTGGTTTATTTCATCAGTAATCACATTGCTCTTTTATAGTCCTTTCTTGCCTGGTACAGACAGGCTAAAACAGGAATTTACTCTAATGGGGGAACCCTGGAGGATTACTTTTTTTCCCTATGTGTTTATGCCTTGTGTACCACCATGGAATTGGAGTGCTTATGAAATCTCCACCAACTCTTTCGTGAGATTTTGGTTGCAACTGAAAGTGGCAAAAACAGAACCAAAAATTCCAATGTGCTGTGGTAGATTTAAATTGGAAAAACAAAATAGCTGAAAGCGAGTTAGACTTCACAGTCGGGATTTGAGCCATCTCTGGAATCAATTTGATTTTTGGTGTTCTTTCTTTGGCCTATATAAACCATTTCCCTCTCTTTTCTACCAGAAGGTCACAAGCACATAGCTGAAAAGGGGATGCTAATTCTCTAAGGTCATACCTATTTTCATCTTTTCAGTATCTCCATTCAGTATATAGGACTCTCATCTTCTCAGGATCAATTCCTGTCTCTTCCACAAAACCCAAGTAGTAGGCTTAGCATAGGGACGGGAAGGAAAAAAATCTTCAGCAGCCATTCTTGCAGCCCTGACTCTGCAAAAGCTCTTCACGAGGTGAGGGTTGGAGAGTAATGGAGCACAGGAGCTCCTCTCCTATAACATGTATAGCCCAGCCAGCCCACAGTCTTGCCACCAACTCACTTAGAGTGACCCCCCACCTCATAAAGGAACTCTATGGTGTACAAGGATGCAGACATCCTAGCAGTGTCTAAACCAGCTCTACGTCCCTCTTCAGCAGAGAAGGAAAGGGTTAAGCTGCAGCCCTCACTACAGGATGCCACTGATGCCACTGCAGTCCCAAGGAAGCAGCCAGGCCTCATGAGACATATGGGCATGAGAAAAATTCAGATAAGCAGATATTTTAAATTTTATTTTAACATATAGCCGGTTTAAAAAACGATGTTTGACAATTACATTTTCCAATTTAATCTTTCCTTCTAAATAGCTTTGAAGTTGTCTGAGTTCTAGTGTTTCCAATGAGACCTGAATTGTTTTAGGCCTAAATTTGCCTTGTGAGATTTTCAAGATGGCACCTTC